AGCAAGAGAAAGTTACGACTACTATATCTTTAAAACTTCGAATAACTTAATACGTATTCCCAAAGTCTTGGAAGTTCATAAGCCGGAAGAGGAAGAGTGATAGTTATAAAACCTTCTTGAAATTCGGCGGGAATACAAGCAATAATTCCGAAAATTACTTCCGAATTTTTGCGTATCTTTTTCGCCGAATCTTACTCTTTTTCATCTTTTCAATTAAACGTCGACAACTTTCGGCACATTGATAACTATCGTAAGACTACCTTCACAAATTTTGTCACGAAATCTTTTGCGGTTAAAAAATATCTTTCCAATTTGGGTTCTAGTCCTTCTCCTGGGCCAGATGGAGTTCCTGAGATTATTTTAAGCAGGTTCTGCTCTTCTCTGACGCCCATTTTAACCGTAATTTTTAGTAAGCCTTATTCTTCGGGCGTTTTCACGTCCCTGTGGAAGGAAACTTTCATTAGGCCAATCCATAAGAAAAACAATAAAAATGACGTGCAAACATTCGTCCTATAGCTAAACTGTGCAATTCCTAAGGTTTTTGAGTTGATGGTATATGACAATACTTATTTCCATTGTATACCATTCATTAGTGCGCGTCAGTATGGCTTCTTAAAACAGAAATCCACGGTGACTAATCTAGTGGAAGCCACGACAGTTTTCTCAAATAATATGGAAAATGGGTATCAGACGGACGTAATTTACACAAACTTTAGCAAAGCCTTTGACATGCTACCACATGAAATTATTATTTTAAAATTGAAACTCTTAAGATTCCCTGACAAATTGTAAGGCCTGGATAAAGTCATATCTCCCTGGCAGGATTTACAGAGTCCTCTCGTTCAGTAATTTCCTCGCCTCTTTCGTCTAATTCTGGTGTACCACAGGGTAGTCATTTAGGACCATTGTTGTTCATAATTTCAATTAATGATGTTGTTTCCAATGATGCTGACGCACAGTGAGGTATTAATATATGCTGATGACATGAAAAGTTTTAAAAAAATAAGCTCTACAACTGATGCGATGTGTCTTCATAATGATCTTAACCGCTTCTACGGCTGGTGCTGAAGTAATAACCTAAAAATCAATGTCAGTAAATGTGCACAAATGTGCTACTCTCGGCAAAAAGGGCCATTGTTTACAAACTATACTTTTAATGGCCAAGCTCTTAGTCGAGTTGATTCAATAATGGACCTGGGTGTTTGCTTCGATAGCAAGTTATCATTCATAAACCACTACAATCATATTATATGCAGACCAAGCTCGATGTTAGGTTTCATTAAACGCTGGTCAAAGGAGTTTAATAATCCTTATGTCTCAAAAACACTCTACACATGCCTGGTCCATCCTCTTCTTGAATATGCTTCACAAATATGGTCACCCTATTACGATATACATATTAATAGGATTGAGTCTATTCAAAAAAATTTTTTGAATAGACTCAATCCTATTTTGGTTCGCACTGCGCCTTCTTCCTTGGGAAGACCCCATCATTCTTCCACCTTAAGAGCACAGACTCAAATTAATTGACCTACCCACACTGGGTAAAAGACGTGAAGTCGCGGATTTGTTATTCATTTTTCAGCTTATGAAAACTGATTTAATCGCCCCCGACATTTTAAATAAAATTGTGATTAATTCCAACCTTAGGTCTCGTTCCCCGGATCTTTTCATGGTTCCTTTTCATAGGACCAATTATGGGAAACATGAACCAGTCAGCAGAATGCTGCGTTTATGCTTGACTTTTCACTGAAGAAAGACACGATGGAAAAGCTTCCATTAACTTATAGTTAAGTATAACCCTTTGCTTTATTTTAACAAATTCTTGTTTTACCTTTTCATTGTGTATATTCATATTTTATGGAATATTATTACTAATTAGTTTTATTTTGCATAATTTTTAAATTTAATTTTTAAGTCAAAAATTTGTTCTGTCTGAAAAATATGTATCTGTATATGCATTCTTTAATTTTAAGTTACGTAAAATGTTTAAGAACATAAATAAATAAATAAATAAAATGCGTGAATGTACAATTATGTAATATGTACTAATGCGCATAGCATACGATTTCTAGCAAAAGGTCTCCAGACCTTGTAAAATGCGAATTGTCAGCTGAACTTTTTTTTTTTTTAAAGATAATTTTATTTTTTTTTGTTATGATTTAAAATGGAATTAAAAAAGCTTTACCCTTACAAATCAATATCAGCAAGTTTCTGCTCCTAAATATTTTTTGGAAATACCCTATTTGTAAAATTTTAATGAAATAAAATAACTTTTCTTTTTAAATTATGTTTTCAAAATGTATGTCAAGAAATATTATGTTCCCACCGAAAACTCGATATGCGAAATTTGTTGCCATCACATAACCTACCTATTGTTTACACAATACGGTCGGTAAAAAGTATTACTAATATTTAACCTACAAACAATAAATACATAACTGCTGGTGCAGCAAAATTAGAAATTTTAAGTATAACGAAACAAAAGTGAATCAAAAGAAAAAACATAAATTATACAGAGTACAATATAGCGTAATATGATATTACAAAAAATTTATTAAAAAAAGTCGAAAATGTTTCTACTTATGACAATAAAAGAAACTATAATTAGGTCAATGAATTACTTAAAAATTGTGGTAGGTTATGGTTAGTATAAAGTGTCAAGAAGTTTTTTTTTTGAAAGTGTTCTTGGAATATGTAGGTGAAAAAAGATAGCTAAAACGATTGAATACAGTACAACACCTATTAATGGGCTCATTTTTACCATATTCAGTTCTATGTGTCTGTTCTTTTAGAAATTTAGTGTGTCTAGTAGGCCTGACGTCATTATTGATAATTATTTTTCTTTTAATGAATTCGACATTTATAACGCCAGTTATAACGTCAAATGTGAAACACGAAGAAAGCATAGAACGGCGGGATTCAAGGCTAATCATATTAAGGGACTGCAGCCTAACTTTGTAGGAAGGGATATTGTGAAAGTCATGTGGATCATAAAGATTTCTTAAAGCAAAAAGGAGAAATTGTTTTTGGACGAATTCAATTCTATTACTATGTGTTACAAAAGCGGGATCCCAAATAATACTGCCGTATTCTAAAATAGAGCGAACTAGAGAACAATAAAGTGATTTTGTAACACAGATATTGTCAAATTCTCTGACTCTACGCTTTATGAATCCCAGCATTTTGTTTGAATGAATGCGAATAGGTTTAGATTTAATCCCCTGGAATTTAACGAATTGGGTTCTCCCCGAGAAATAGAATTTCAGCCATCCTAGTAGAATTAAAACCAAACTTAACTAGTTTACGCTCCAAGATATTGTGATCGATGCGGTCAAAAGCTTTACTGAAATCCGTATATATCGTATCAACTTGAAAACCTTTTTCCATTAATGAAAGAACGTCAGATGTGGAAACTGTAAGATTTGAGGTAGTCGAGCGACCAGTTCTAAAACCATTTTGCTCGTTATTTAATAATGGATTGATGACTGGCGCAAGTATATTAGTAACTAATTTTACAAAAAATTTTGGGATAGCAGACTAAATAGCAATACCTCTGTAGTTTTCTATCGCTGTTTTGTCACCGTTTTTGTGAATTGGTATCAGATACGAATTTTTCCAAGCTGATGGAAAAATTCCGGTGGATATAGATCTGTTAAATGTTGAGGTAAGAGGATTTGTCAGGATGTAGCGACAATTGTAAAGAAATATTGGTGGTAGAAGGTCAGGACCAGATCCCTTCTTAACGTCTAGGTTAATGATGCCCTGAAAAACATTTTTAACCGATAAATGAAAGTATTCGAAAAGCGGGTTGGTATTGTTCACGAGGGGTACATGATTGAAATTAACATTATTAGAAGGTATCTCAGGGCGATAAATTTGCTGGAAGTTGTCATCAAAAAAGTTCAGATTTGCGTGGAAGATGAAGACATTTTGCCATTCATATACATCGAAATCGGGTAACCTGATGATTTGCGTTTAGTGTTAACGAAGTCGAAAAACTTTTTGGGGTTGCTCATTATTGAGTTACCGATATTTTGGACATAATTATCATATGCCTCGTTTGCCTTAATCTTAAATTCATTCGCCAACTCATTATAATCATTTATAAGTGAGTTGTTGTCATTACCAGAGTGCTTAATTTTGTGGTATAATTTATTTCTCCGGTTGTAAGATCATTATTTTTATCATTAATATTAGTATTATTATTATTATTATTATTATTATTATTATTATTATTATTATTATTATTATCATTATTAATATAATTATTATTACTATTATTATTATTATTATTATTATTATTATTATTATTATTATTACTATTATTAATATTATTATTATTGTTATTATTATTATTATTATTATTATCATCATTATTCTTACCATTGCTAAAGTTGCTACTTGCAACATTATTAGTACTATTATTATCATTATCATTGTTTATATTATTAGTATTACTATTATTAGTACTATTGTCGGTAGTACTGATAGTATTATTATTATCACTATTATTGTTATTATTATAATTATTATTATAATTATTGTTATTATTATTATTATTATTATTATTATTATTATTATTAGTATTATTATTATTATTATTATTATTATTATTATTATTATTATTATTATTATTATTATTATTATTATTATTATTATTAATATTGTTATTATTATTATTAGTGTTATCATTCCCATTGCAATTCATATTATTATTTATGTCGTTATACCGATTGATTGTATGAGAATAAACAAAGTTATTGTATTTTTGAACTTTTTGGTTAGATGAACCCAAAATATTGTTAACACAATCTGTTTCAGTCTCAGTTGAAGTAGTTTTAGAAGTGTTACTATTAGTATGTTTCTTATTATTGAAAAAGTTTTTTGTTTTGTTAGTAGTTGAATAAGATATTTTGTTAGTGTAATTAGTATGTCTAGGAAAAGTATCCTTACTTATATTTGTAGAAGCTAATTTAGAACTAGAAGTTGTGTCATACCTGTTTTTCCAACGAGTAAGAAAGAACTACTGAAGAACCAATCGTACTTTTGCGGGAACACTACTTTGAAGCATCTGTACTTGATCTTTCTTTTATTACGCAACCTCGCAGGATGAATTATATCGCAACTGTTGGCCGTTATTGAAAAGTTGCTTTGAAAGAATTTTAACATCCACTCCTTTTACGAAGTAGGTTGTACTATGGTCACTCGTTTCAACCATAGATGGAAATGGTACTTTTTTGCAAGCCTCGATCTCATCCTGAAGAGACTCCACTGTCTTTTGAGTAGCTTCATTATTCTTTGGCGAAGGTGGTTTACAGAATTTCGATGAAAACGAGTTACCTATGTCACATAGATTGCTTTCTATGCTGTCCAGACGTCTCATTACAGATTCAAGCACACCAGCAGAGTCAGGTTCCTTTGTAGTTTGCGAGCCCATCTTGTTATATATATCATTTATAGACATTGATATGCTGGACTGGTTCGTGATGAGTAACTTTAAATTATTAGATATGTCAGAATGGTTCTCGGTGAGACAGTTAATTGAGTCCATTATTTTCTCACATTTTGATACCATAAAGTCAGATAAAGATAAAATGCTTTTATCCAGAAGTGGAAATTGTTCTGCGTGTGTTATCTGGATCGAACTTTGCTTTTTCGGCTTCTCATCAAAAACTGATTGCGAGAGACTTTTAATATTTTTTGCCGTCTCAAGAAAATCATCCCGTCTTTTTCTTCATGAAGCGATGTAATTTTTTTATCAATGTTGTCGTACATCGCCCTTAAAAGAGAGTGCACTTGTTGGCAATCAGTGCAAACAAAGAACTTTTTCAAGGAATGGTGATATAAATCCCTTGAAGCTCCAATGCAGGCACCATGAAGAGTCCGGTGACAAAAGCCTTTACAGACAACCGACTTAGTTTTACTGTCAGTAGCTGTACAATTAACCATATTGCATTTGAAGAACATAGTTACGTTAGTGGTTTGTGTTTCTAATAATGTAAAGTATAAAAGAAAAATGTGCTTTTATTTTAGAAAAATTTTTACAGAAAATCTTAAAATTGAAGTATTTCGGCAGTAAAAAGTTCCAATGTTAGATTTTGCTGGGACCCTACTCGCAAAACCCGATCTAATGCCTTTTGTCCCATGTCTCTAGCCGTTCTATAAGTAACAGTACTTTTTTATACCTCAGAAGTCCCTATGTATACGTTATATAACACAAAACAAAAATAGCGTCATATATAAAATAAAATTAAACAATAATGGCGTTAAAAATAAATAAATATTTAACAAAACGAAAAAAAGAATATAAAAAAGGAGAATAAATATGTAAAAAAATGAAAACAATAAAATAAGGTAAATTATTAGAAAAGAAAACAACTAATAATATAAAATAAGTAACTTACTATACCATACCAGAAAAAAGAATATTAAAATATGGCAAAATTGGCATGCACATTATCACAACTAAGCTGTAAAATTTATAATAATTTTATATATTAAAATTATTATAAATTTTACAGTTTCACTGCAGTGATGTGGAAGGCGGAAAGAGAGCTCAACTCGCAATTGCTCGCCCTCACCTTTCCTTCCGTCAAGTTTGGATCCATCCGTGTAGAAATGGATGAAGCCATCCAATCCTTCCACAAAACAACCCCGCCAACCCCCTGGAAGTCGAAGGGCTGGTATACTGACGCCCACCAAGAAATACTGCCACCAGCTTCAAGACTGACTACAGTCAAGTCTTCATTGCTGTAAAGAGGTAATAGAAAAGCATTTCAGTTATTTTTAACAAGTACGCATGATCTTTTCTGCAAGCTGCTGTTGCTATAAAACAGCTTGTACACTGCCCTCTACACCCCGCAGATCTTTACCCCTGCTGTCCAAGCCTCCTTTATCAGAACTATATCGTCTCCGATGCTTTCTAAGCGCAGAAGGAGTGCAGCCGAAGCTGCTCTAAAGTGGTGGAGGTTGATCCGAATTCTGCGAAGCACTACTGCTTTCGTTAACTCCACCAGCGTCTTAAAGCATCCTCGTCCAGACCCAAGTCCTCTAGATCTAGATACATCAAGTCATCATCAGTCATTCCCGTTTCATCCAGCATTTTTGCTTCTAATGAGAGCGATCACTATTTTGTTGGGCCCCCTCCAACTTTATGTCCGTTTTATGCACTTTAAGGGTTACAGTGGAGAACCCATAATTAAAGGCGAATTCCTGCTTCTCCAGAAGTGAGATTCCCTATTTATTACGAGGCCCTGGCGATAGTCGTCCTTTTTCTCTTCCAATTTTTTGTCACCTTTCTTGGCTGTTGGCGAGTTCGGATTGCCCAATCTGATCATCTCCAGGATGGTATCAGCGTTCAACGGCTCAGCTGGAATTCAAGCCCAAGCTCGCGACCTGCTTGGGATTTCGTCTTTTGCAAGGACCGGAAGTCTAAACTCTGGCCAAGCTTCCCCTACTCCTGCCATCGCCTTTTTATAAAGGTTGAGAGACCTACCGCCAGCACAGGTCATAAGTTTCACAAATCTCTGGTGCCAACCTTGGTCTCTGCACGAGGGATATGGGCCTGGATTTTCCTTCATGAGTTGAGGAAAGCTGCACTGAAAAAAAAGTCTTAGCAAGATTGACAAAAAAAACATTTGATTCGACAAATTTTTTGTCTCTATACGGTCAACAAAAACTTTGTGAATAACAAAAATAACAAAATTTTACAAAAGCCTTACACTTTAGTCAGTTTGACAATCGGATTTGTCAAAATGAAAAAAAATTTTATTCTTATTGAAAAAGGGTATTTTGTTGAGAGGACAAAGTTAAATTATCATTTTGACAATGATTGTAATCAACTTGACAATTGGAATCGTTGAATAGAAAAAATATTTTAGTCAAATTAAAAACGTCTATGTGTTAAAATGACTAAATAAATTCTCAATCTGACAACTTTTGTTGTCAATTTAGCAAAATACTCTTTTCATCTAAACAAATTAGTATTGTTCAATCAACTAAAGATAGCTTTTCAAATAAACAAAATTTTTGAATTTTTTAATTCATCATATATTTTTTATTTTTACTTATTAATTCTTGTAATACAAAAGTTATTTCAGCATACCCTTTTGAAACTTACTGTATAATGTTGGATATTTTAAATCGAACAAATTAAAGATTTTGAAGCATGTATCAACATTATGTAAAATATTAGTGAATTTAAATTTAATTTCATCAAAATATACAATATCATCAGGGTCAAAAATATTACCAGCAACTATTCTAATTGATTGAATCGCTTCATGATTCAAAGTTTCAAGTTTTTATTGTACTTCTTCTGCAGACACTCCCCTCATTAGGACGGTATTTTGAGAATTTTTTATAAAGTACTTAACTTTAACTCTTTTCTCGTTTTCTAGTTTGAATTTTCCTCCAGTAGGAAAAAGAACTGCATGTATTAAGTACAAAGTTATGATAAATTTTTCGTCTGAAAAATAAGCAAAAAAACAAATGCTTAAAATATTGATATTACACATTAAAATATGTACTCGTATGTTCATTTGTACTTTCACATAAGTTTCTCGAATTTTCAAGTATTCAACATTTCAATATTACTTGAATTCTTGATTGTTTCTATATATAAAACCAACAATTCTTCGCAATATTCTGGGAATTCGTCTACAAAATTATTATCTGGAAAAGCGTTGCAAAAGTCCATGGAAATCTAAATAATACAGAAAACTAAAAACAGAAATTAAGGCAGGAAAAAATATAAATTACAAGTTTATAGTTTTTTGTATTGTCGAAATCAATTATTTCTGCTGTTGATTCAGCATGTTTTATTAATGCTAACCAGTGGCCTGGAGCAACTTTTCAATGCTATTCTAATTTATTCCAGGAACTATTGTCGTTGAAAATTGCTTGAAAATTTTTTTCGTATATCAAAAACCAAACAAAATTTTTTAAAAAAGCAAAAATACATGAATTAAAATGTTTTAAATTTTAAAGTTATTTTTACCTGAAACTGATTATTTTCTGAGAACACTAGCGAAGATTCGCTATGACTATTTTCAGGCTGCTTTTTTGCTGTTGATTTTTGAATAAGTCCAGTGTTTTTCAACAATCTAAGCTGATTATCTGTAGATCGTAAGAAATATGTATATTTCATAACAGAAGAATCATAAAAGAAGTAAATTAATTACAATATTTTTCCAAAATTAAAATTTTCTATTCCTTACTTTTAGTTCCTTAGGAAACAATTTAATAATTTGGTCTGCAAAGACTTTATTGAGAAATATTCACTACGGCATACGTGTATAACAAATAATATTTTATTAATAAAAATATTGCTCTTTTTTCGTAACACCAAATATCCAGATTCTGATTATCTTTAATAATACCAGACGCTATTGATAAACAATTTATTTTTTTTTATTTTTTATAGCTTAACTTTATAATTAGCACTTTTCCAAAAAATTTTTGGAAAAAAAGTGCTTATTAGTTTCACTCTGTCCGTCCGTCCGTCCGTCCGTCCGACCCTTGAAGATAGAAAGCAGAAATTTTGTAGGTACATAAATCTTTACTAGAAACTTATTTCCGTAGAACAAAATTTTTACCTATCTCCCCCCCCTCTAGAAGTTATACTGCCCCAAAACCATAAAAATTACCTTTTTTAATTTATTTGTTGCAATGAAACCATAAGCATTTTCGAAATTTTGCGAATGCAAATCAGCGGCTTACTTCCCCTAGCGCGGTATACTATAGTTAAACTTTACAAAAACAAAATGGCCGTTCAAATTTACCGTTATCTAAAGTCTTTTTTTTTCCAAATTTTTGAATTCGTTTTTTTTCTTGACCCCAGCCTGTAGAAGCCTGAAATTTTAGGGGCTTTTAGACATTAACAAATTGTTCATTTCGTTGGAAGAAAACTTTTTTCCATCCCCACCCCTTCTCAAGTTATCGCCTCTTGAAATTAATAAAATTTGAATTTTTGACACCTTATATTTCTGAAACCGCAAGCTTTTTTATATTTCTATAAACACAAAAAGCTAACGGTAAATTCCATAATATTAAAAAATATAATTATTTTTCTTAACTCACAG